GGGTTGGGGGCTCCCTTTTCCTGTGGCCGGAAAGCTCGCCAAGCCAGGCAACCGGCGGCCTTTCAAGTTTAAGCCGCCGGGTCCAGGACTCGAACCACAGTCAACTACATGGGAGTCCAGCGACATAGCCATTATGCTAACTGCTGGTCCCAAGGAGGTGATTTCTTCCATAGCTGAATGCTGCACATTTTGGCAGTAAAAACAATAGGCCACAGTGATAACCTTTCTCCTAAAACAAATGAACTGGTCTCGTCCAGCAGGCACTGTTTCAATCTGTGACGTGATATGTCACGTGCAGCAAATGTTATATCTTCTGATCTCAGCCAACCCAAATCAATACCTGTTCCAACAGAGGAAATTGCCCCCCACCCCCAAGAAGTTTACAAAACAACTGCCTCTTCAAGTATTTATCTTATTCAGCTTCTCACTTGTGCCATTAAGGAAGCACTGTAGCAAAAGCCACTTCCACATGGCCCTGGCCAGGAGCTCTGTTGTTCCATGCTTCATTCTCATTGCACTTGGTATTGTTTTTTTTTTTTTTAATATAAATAAGATTTTTACATAAAGCTCAGATTTTGATTTATAAGGACCTTGCTGCAGTAAATACCATCTTTGTTTTGTGCCACTGGTTCAGCTGTTAGCACAGTAAAAACCATTTGTTTGAAAGGGGCAAATGCTTTATTAAGGCAATAAAATGAAACACTACTTCGGCTTTTAGAAAGTTATTGTAAGCACAAGCAATTGCACTTTTAAACGAATTAAAGTAGAAAAATCGATAACCTAGTGAAACCTTTGCTATCTTCCAGTTTTGTAAAGCTTATGCACCACCATTTAAATCATAGGTAGCCTAAATGCCTCAGCAAAAAGGAGGAAAATGCGTCTGCATCACTATCATCAAGCTTCTTTTAACCCTTTTTTATCATTTTCCTTAAGGGGTTGGATTTGCCTGCATTCCTTAGGGAGAATTCCCTTTTCACATAATGCTTCCCAACTGTTATAGTCATAGGCTCCTTCTTTAAACTATTGTCACTAGAGTACTAAAAAGTCTTTAGTGTACTAACAAAGTACAAGGAAGAACACTATATTGGGTCAGAAACAAAATCCTCAGTAACATAGATGATAAAATACTGATCATCATGGTTGGAAACTTAGTCTCCAGTTTTATCATTTCACTCAACTTAATTGACTTGATAGTCCTGGCCCAGTTACTGTGCCTCATTAGACAGAGAAATAGGGAAA